CCGAGGAACTAAGAATAGACTAGACGACCATATCCTCTAGATCATTTCCATGAAAGGGAAATAGACTCGCGGTTCACCAGTGAACATCGTAACCATCGACCTGTGGCTACCACCTCTCTACCTCCCTCTCCTTCTGCATCGCCTCTTGCGCAGCTTTCAAAGATTCCCACTCCTGCAGCAAGGCCTTGACTCTCTCGCACGTCAAGTCCAGAACTTTTGCTTTGTTGAGAGACCGGCGCTGTGTCCGCGATCTTCTCCCTTGCCCGTCTGCCGCAGTATCCTGCTGTTTTACACCCTCGAACGCGTCCCGCGGTGTACCGGCATCTTCGGCGCCGAGAGTTGCCTGCAGGCTCTCGAAGCCGGCCGTCAGTTTGTCGCGATATCTTTTACCGACGCGGTTTTGTCGCCGGCGAACGTGCTGCAGCTGCGGGCTGTGCGCGTGCATGTCGTCATTTCGAGCAGGTGAACCCACCGACCCATCAGAATCAGCGGCTTTGGCAGCGGGCATGATCGCACTGCGGCGGCTTGCAGCAGGTTGAGGGCCCGGGGTTGTTCTCGGCGGTGACCTGGTCTTGGTGCGTCTTCCTCTGACCGTGACCTGCCCGGCAGTCATCCCATCACGCCGCAAGCGATGTGATGTATCCTAGGCAACTGATGCCGTTTGATTGCCGTGATTGCGATTTGGCGTTCCTAACAAGTATCGTTGTCTTGACCCACGATATATCGTGGAGTGGCAAGGCACGCATCTACCGTATGAAAACAAGGAAAAATTAAGGGAAAAGGAGGGGCAGCGTCGGGTAGGTAGGTAGTTCACTTCCAAACTTGCTTTGGAATCGCCAAGATCAGTTGAGTTTCTTGATTGTGTTCATGCAGCTGACAGGAAAGAGTATTTGATGGGCCGGCTGCCGTTTGGCTTATCTTCCAATTCAAGCCTCGTGCCTGCCGTATGCCCTGCATGAGCCAGCCAATCCAACCCAGCCCTACATCAACGATCAGGAAATTTACTCTTAGTGCAAATTGCGAAATGTTCATCTGCATTCTCATCCGTGTTCCATCATCTAAGACTGAAGGCAAGAGAAACCAGCCAGTTAAGGACCAATCCCACAAAAGAACATTTATTCATCTGTCGGAGTGTCTCATTCGATAACCTTATTCCCATCCCTAGATTTCCTTCACTCAGAGTGATGTTGATGCATCACGAGATTCCCTCGAGCGGCCAAAATTGAGGCACCGCCCAACCAAAAAGAAATAAATATAGTCGAGCGCCCGTCCGCTGCGGGCTTGGGACCACGTCACGGGTGAGATGGGGCTCAATCGGGGATCGAACCCGAGACCTCGCACATCTTTGTTGCTTGTTGTTTTGCAAGCAAGGGAAGCTCATATGCATCCCGAAGCGCGAATCATACCACTAGACCATTGAGCCGACGTCTCCAGTTGTGGATTCGGCGCTGAATGACGCGGTTTAGGTATCATGGCCCGTTGAGAGCCGTTATGGGTGGGGCCTGCTCGCGAGTTGCACGCAATCATAATGGCATTTTGAAAGATCATCCAGATGGGCACCACAAGTGCGTCTAGTCTTCTTGCTGAGAAATTGTCAAGGTGAGTATCGGTCCGACACTGAGAAGTCGGAACGCTTCTCAGGTGACTCGAAGGTTGATCTCATTGGGCCACTGCAGTGAGGATTCCGTTGTTAAATCCGGCCTCTCTCCGGCGAGAGTGTGGATGTTGACGACTTCACATGACGACAACGCCCTTGTTGGCTACACTCAAAAGACAAAAACAGGCCCACGGTTGCAGGATCCGAACTACACCAAGCGAGTATCCAAATCACATTGTCATCATCGACTCAATATCACCACGCTATAACCACCCCAAAGATGACGGCCCCCCAGGTTGAGATTTACGGCCCGGGCTACCATCCTTCCCAGACCAAGCATCACGAGTGGCGCACGGCAGAGAATAGCGCCGCCCACCTGCTCCCACACCTCGAGCGTCTCGGCCGCGCGAACCCGCGCCTCCGGGTCCTCGACGTCGGTGCCGGCTCAGGCACGATCACGGCCTCGCTGGCTCGGTACCTGCCGTCCGAGGGGACCATCCTGGCAACCGACATCTCGGACGACATACTAGATCGCGCGAGGACGCACGCCGAGGCCCAGGGCCCTGATGTATCCCGGAGGATCAGTTTCCAGCGCGCGTCGGCGTACGAGCTGCCCTTCCCCGACGGCGCCTTCGACGTCGTGCACGCCCATCAGGTGCTTTGCCATCTGGCGTCCCCCGCCGACGCGGTGCGCGAGATGCTGCGCGTGTGCGCGCCTGGAGGTGGGGTGGTGTCCCTGCGCGAGACCGATATGGGCATGTGGTGCTTCTGGCCGGCGCGAGAGGAGCTAGAACAGTTTCGCCAGCTCGCGACCGACGTCATGGTCGCCAACGGCGGGCAGGCCGAAGGCGGCCGGAGGCTGCTATCGTGGGTCCTGCAGGCCGGCGCCGAGAGGGCGGACGTCGAGGCCGGCTTTGGAACGTGGTGCTACAGCGCGCCGCAAGATCGTAGGGCATGGGGTGAGCTGTCCTCCTTCTGTTTTGTCCTGCCTCTAATACTACGAATTGTCGGAGTCTTGTCGGAGTCTTGATTTCGCAATCCTTTCAATGTCTGACCGAAGCGACAGGTGGGTCGATGATCGACAGGTTACGGACCGGCCAGATGCGCGATAAGGGGTTCGACCTTGGGCTTGTCACGGAAAGGGGGATCGAAGAGATGATCAGGGCCTGGGAGGACTGGATGGCGGCCGATGACGCAACGCTGGGGATCATGAACGGCGAGGTAATTGTAAAGAAGAAGTAGTCTGTTTGCGGGTGTGGGGATATGAACATACCGGTATGAGGTCGGCGAGTTTTGTCTCCCACCACCGACGGGAACACTTCACCATGAACTCGCCCAAACCGCTCGATGTCTGTATGTCAATGAGCAGGAAAGGATACAATAGTAATCTGTACATCAGGGGCACGAATCTCTCCGTCATCTTAGCCATTGACATGATTGTATTTGGAGCAGAAAATTGTAATTTGGCCCCTGTGTCTATCACAGTTGATGCGCCCCCTCCGGTCCATAACCACGCTATATCTGTGATCAAATTCGAGTGGTGGCTTTAACATCTTACTCTTATCGAGGTTACCTGACGAACAAGCTAGGTCAGGCACTTGGCGACTCCAACCACAACCTTGATCATCACCGTCTGACTCGTTTCATTCGTCGCGGCCTGCACGCCAATTCTTCTGCCGCGCGTAGATCTCGACCTTCAATCTTGTTCACACGTGGACCTCTTCTCCTCCAAACAGCAATTGTTAGGCGAACCGACGCCCCTTAAGTAATAAGCCCGTTAGCGCATAGTTATCGGATGCACTTGTAGTAGGTAACAAGATCGGCCACAAGAGCCTCTACAACTGTCGTGGAATCACGACTCTCGCAACAGCCTCGAGCTCGTGATTCTGAATCAAAAAATGAGTGGGGTTGGGGGCCGAGGGTTGCCGACACCCGAAGGTAACGTGTCAGCGGAGGCCCGTTCTGGATCCGACGCTAGTGCGACGGGACACTGGATCGATCTGGGGAGGAAGGGCGGGCAAGGCAGCGGCTGCAGCGGGACGTGTTCAAGGATGATCAAGAGCGATATCCCGCGGTTAATAAGTTGCAAGCAGCTGATCCCCACGGCCCCAACATGATTGCACTGGGAAAGGGGTGAGCTTCTCTGAATCAGACTGAAGGTCGGGGCTCGACACCCACACACTCTCCGCACTGTGACCGTGTCTCGTGTTGCGTCCACATGCATACCCTCTTCGCTTGGGATGGCTTGGGACAGGCTGGCCGTCCGGTTTCGCCAAGCAGAAATGACGCGACAGTTGCTAGACTTTTTGTTCTGGGGTGGGGGGGTGAGCCGGGCCTAGACCCGCCCAGCCACCGGATATGACGGCATGCCACGCCTGCAGAACGACGTCATAGGCCTTGTCGCAACCAGAACCGCGGTGAAACCAGATCCGCGCCGTATGTGTACCGAGTACACGTAGTTGGGGGTTGCGTTGGAGGGTTGGGGTGGGGGGGGTTTGGGTGGGCTGTGAAAGGGGGGGGGAAGGTTCATTAGCGTGCAAGTTTGCAATGAGGGTCAGAAATTTCCGCAATGCACGAGGCTTAACTGGACGTGTTCTGGGCCTGAATCGCTCGCTGAAAAGCCAGGCTTCCAGCCAGGCAGGTCGTGCTTGCCGCGGGCCGTCCGTTCAGTAAGGGTCCTGCGAGAGGGAGGGCGCCGGCTCCTGATTCGTCAGTCAGCTGCGAAAATCAGCAGATGATCGGCGGGAGCCCATGTCTTGGCGCCTTTTTATCCTTCCGGGACCAGGACAGACCCAGACCCTGAGATGGGAGCGGAAGCACTGACTTGGGTTTAACTTTTCTCAATTGGGCGTTGCCTGTGTAGAAACCGATGAGCGGACAAGCAACGGATTCTTTTTGCGTAACGACACGACTCGTGCAACGTCGACCGTGAGTCTCCTCCAAGGATTATCGTACAACTATAGTATAGTATAGTCAGGTACGTGATCTTGTCCGTCTGTGCTACACCAAAAAACATACCACACATCGTAGGGTAGATAGCTTTGACATTGTCGTCCCGAAATAGCAGCTACCTACCAACCTTACCCGGGGGCATGTCTAACTTCACCTGTGTACAGTACGGATCCATAGGTTTGTCTCGGTGCAGATAAGGTTCGTTGGTTTCTCACATGCACCTGCTCGCAAGTGCAGATTCCGGGAGCAGCGACTGGCCGGGGGCGACATGGTTACAAACTCTCATTCCAGCATCTCGAGTCGCGGCTGAGACAAGGCCAGACGAGGCAAACTGAACCCTTCTTGACGGCGTACAGGCCTAGTTATTCTCTTGGGGTCTCTGACTCGGAGTTTCTATTCTTCTGAGAGACTAGAAACAGTTAAGAGCGCGAGCTCTGGCTGGTTTGTCGATAGCTGAATCCAAACAAAGCAATCCATTGTGGTTGAGAGGTACAACAAGTTCCCGTCATCAACCCGCGTGCCGGAGAAGCTACGACAACAGGGAGCAGGGCGCACGGGAGCACGGGAGCACGGGAGCAAAGTTCGAGGCCCCGACACTGGTACAGTTGCAAAATTGTGCTTGGCATGTGGAGGAAAGCCTGAGGCATGTGTGGAGCCTGCTCCGGTGAGTGGGTGCCGGCGTGGGTGCTGGCTTGGCCTGGCGAGCCTGGTAAGTGTGGGCAGGTGGGCTGCCGCTCAGCGATTTCGTGTTTTCTCGCATTCATCTGGAGCTCATTCCAGCAATTCCACCATCTGTTGTTGGTCGGATTTCCATCGGGCCACTCACCACCTGCCCTGCGGTGCCACAAAACCGTGAACTGGGATCCAGACTGGGTCCTTTCTGCAACATTAGCGCATCCATCCGCCCACGCCCCTCGCCTGGCTTTCAAGGGTCATCCGTGCACTGAAGCCACGCACCAGCCTTCGGCAAGGCAAGACAGCGCCGACCCGGCCCGGGTAGATAGGTGTAGAAAAGTTCCAGACTCGTCAGACTGGTTCCCAGTCAGAGTCGCAACCGGCAGCAGCAGCAGCAGCAGCAGCAGCAGCAGCAACACAACGCTGGAGCCAGATTTGCACACCCCAGCCCGCTGCGAGATTCCGGCTTGTCGCCGCGGCCCTACCCTCCTTTGGTACTTACCAGTGCTGACCATAGTGTGGCGCGCTCCCGTCTCCCAAAACCCACTGACGGGCCCTGCAACTGCACTGTACCCTCCACAGCAAAAAGAACCGGTTCCAGACCGGGTGACAAATTTCAGCCGTCGCCGATCCGCTTTGCGAAACAGAAGGTCCTGCGTTTCCGTGTCCGCCAAAACATTGAATTCCCGAAACGCATCCATCTCGGCATCGACACGCCCACCGTCATTGCCATCACCGTCGCAACACCACGCATCGCCGTCGCCCTTCGTCACCACCGCCATTGCTAACCGACAACGACCTCGCCGTCGTCATCCGATGCCTCGACTTTTTTAATCCGACGCTGGCAACATGGCGAACCCGGTGGGGGAGGATAGCTGGGTCGAGTACGTCGACAACCAGCTGCGCGAGGCCAATGACCTCGAGAGCCGCGTGCGCGTCATCGAGTCCTTCCGCCGCGCCACCCAAGCCGAGCCCGGCAGCCTCAAGGTGTGGATGGCCTACTGCGAATACTTTTGGTCGCTCTACACCGATTGCCATCCCGGCAGCGACGCCGGATGGCCCCACGAGGAGCAGCAATTTGGCCGCGAAAAGTTTACCCTCGATGCCGCTCTTCACCTTTGGCAGGAGGGCTACGAGGCCGTGCAGTACCGCCTCTCCGACAGCCACGAGCTATGGAACCGGTGGGTGTCGCTCGAGAT